TATATATATATATATATATATATATATATCACTCTTGCAACAAAGTATGGTAGTAATATTCCCCATTTGTTGGAAATTAACAACACTGCATTTCAAAAGTGCAGTGCAAATTTAAAATTGTTGCTGGTGATCAAATAATATTTAGTGTTAGAATGCATGTATAATTCACCATTTTCATATTTCATGCAATACTTTTGCTCAAAATTTAAACTTCATTTCAAATTTCATTTTGTTTCTTGATGGAAATAAAAGTGTCAATTTCAAAACAAACGCCACTGACAATGTTCTTATGAATAATGCAATGTTGAGATTTACTGGCATTATTCTGATTGCTTTATTGTAGGCTTAACTAAAGAATAAATAATTTCATCTGTTCTCTACAATACAAATGAATATATTTGATAACACAAAAGCTTCAATAAATAATGAACTACTTTTTTGACAATTGCCCTTGCACCCTGAACTATTGTCTTTCATACTATTGTTTCATGAAAACTTTATGAAATATTTATCGTAAATTACCTTCACATTGCCTCCAAATCGAAAAGTGCATCTTTGTACAACATTGAGATATAACCGTAGTGACGTTTCTCAATTTAAGTATATCGAAATGCATCTTGCATTTTTTTTTTATGAAGTTTACTCATCACTCAAACTATCAGACTTTGGTGATTCATTATTACTCTGATCGGCAAGACAGCCTGCAGAATTATCTTCCTCTTCAGTAACCTTGGATTTGACACAGTAAGGTTTATTGCGACAGATATCATCAATAAGTTGTTGCGATGGCCCAATTTGTGTTTTGAAACCTTTCAGCGTGGCAAGTTCGTTTGCGTCCACTGCCTTTTCCTCAGCGTCAACATACTCTTTTTTTCTGAAAAACCAACTGGCCTTAGCTTGAAGATAGCAGCACTTCAGGTACCCGAGGTCACATGCATAGATGTAATCTGGCTCGGTTTCGAGAGACTTTAGTAACTTTGTTGCTTTATTCATTCTGTTACCATTAACTGTCAAATCTCTGGTTCTTCCTTCACAATCCATATACATAGTTGCCATTTTTATCATCATTCTTGCCCTCAGATACTTTGTGATTACCGGGTTGTCATTAGACACTAGGTGCATTGCCTGCTTCATGTCACTCATGATTTTCTGAAAAACAAAACAACATAGTCACATATTTATAATGGGAATGAAAACCAAATGAAAAAACTTCTCATTTGTGGACTGCAGTTGCAAACACCTATGTGATGTGGAAATATTATTGTGTTCAGCTTACCATAATCACCCAGAAAGTGTCTTGAGTCACTTAAAGTGAATCCATGGACTATATCAAAAATTATATATTAAACTTACACTTTGAGATCATTCATATATCAGACAATCAGACTTTCGGTTTTTAACAAGAAGTCAAAAATATCATTTTTTACCAAAAATGACAAAAATATTCATCAAAATTAGAGAATTGAAGATATTACAAAATGAACAAATCTGAGAAAGGTCTACCTGAGGTACCTATATGTGTAATATCAAAGCAACTGGACTTGTAGATTTCAACAAAAAATTACTTTTTACAAAAAATTACAAAAACATTTATTAGAGAATTGAAGATATCATCAGAAAATGACAAGAGGACTACTCAATAGGAGGTATGTATGTATAATATCAAAGCAATCAATGCATGTGTTTTGCAGTATTTCTGTGTTCTGTCCCTTTTTTCAGTGTTAAGCATGTTGGCACTGCAACAAAGCATCAGTGACAGGACATGGA